GCGCCGGCTGCCGGTCCCACGCCGACGCCGCCTGCATTAGCGGCGCCGCCGCCGCCGCTACCACCACCGCCACCGCCTCCGCCACCGCCTCCGGCGCCGCCGGCGTTACCATTGTTGGCGCCCACATACGTCGGCCTCGGTCCATTCGTATTCTGAAAATCAGAAAGATCTCTGTTAAACGGGAGTTTTTCTCTTATGATTATTTGATTTTGTTCATAAGCAAATAATTATATCTTTATGATCTTTTTGATAACACGATAAAATATGTATTTATAACAACGAAGAATTATTACAAGTATAGAATAAAGAAATGTAGGGTTTAAAAAAATCAATTGGGATTATTTTCTTTTTTATTCATTTCAGATGAAATTGTAAATTCTGGTGTGTGATACCGAAAATATATTTACATTCATGAATTATACATAAAAATATACATCTTTACGAAGTAAAGATACTTTTAGAGTAGTAACGGAGAATTTATTTGAACAAAATGGCTTTCTAACAATAATTGATGATTGAAAAGAAAAAGGAAATATAAATATAATCTATGGTATCAGTTCTGGTGCAATGCCACCGTTCGAAGTAACTCGTTAAGAACATCAAGTATCAAGTACATATTGTACGTCAATGCTTTTATCAGCAAATTCTCTTGTTTGAGTTTCAACAGTTGGACAATAATGCACTCTTATCGTAATAAGTCGATCGATTATCGTTACCACGTTAATCTTAGAAATGAAGGAAGACATCTTCAATTTAGTGATCTTAAAATTGTCGCTGCTTTTATATGATCAATTATCAGGAACAATAATTTAATGAGCGTAATGTATTATTTTAGTAATAATATAAGAAGCAAATTTTTCAAAAATAACAGAAACGCTTAATATTCATCTAGAACAGCTGGAAAAGTAGTACTTAACACTTAAAGTTGCGCAATTTCTCTATAATTTTCCTTCGATTAAAGAAATGAAGTGCTCAGGTAAAAATATTCCCTAATCCCTAATTTAAGTGTAAACCTGATTTATAATGAAAAAACTGTGTAAAGTTAAAGAACTTACAAATTCACAATCGTAAATACGATAAATAAAACGACAAGCAATTCGTTTTAAATTTTTTTCCCTCCTGACGTCACAGTTCATCGTGACTGCAGTGACCGGACCTTTAATATCGATGCAACCGTTGCGTCAGTCGTCTATCGATTTTCTCGAACGAAACGGCATACTATTTTAGAAAGCGATCGCGTTTCGCCGGCTCCATAGTTTCCCCACACACGTCGGCCGTACACGTCGATAAGAAGAAGAGAGAGAGAGAGAGACTCTATCCGTTATCGTTTATCAGTGACCTCGCGCGGTCACGCCTTTCCGATAACAAGAAAGAATGGCCGTTCTCTACCTCGTTTTCAGTCTCTTCGTCTTCATAGCATTCTCGCGAGTATCGGGTTGCATCTTTCTAACAGCATTCAGGAGCGCTAGTATCAACCGCGTATCTAATATTGACGTCGCCAGTCCATCACTTATCACGCAACTTTTCTTATATTTTCAACGTTATATACATAAATCTCCTTCAAAAAAAGTTCTATCAAAACGAGATCTTCGTGAAATTGACTAAAAAAAAAATACATTATTTCATTTATATTCCCCCGAAGTTTGCTCCTTAAACAGCTCTGCGAGTTAATTAATTGCTCGAAGAGTCGCGGTATGGCTCGACATTTTCGTGGAAAAAAAGATCAACTCACAACTGTTAAAAATCTGTAATTCAAGTGCACTTCGGGACACCCTATGTATAGTTAGAATTTATGACGCATCGACGGAGCGATATAAAATCAGACAGTGGGATGATTCGACTGTGGTAAAACCATCGAACAGTCACACGGCATGACGCAGCCCTCAGCAAAGACGAAACGAAATGCACGAGATGTCGTGTGATCCGGTCAGAGAGAGAGAGAGAGAGAGAGAGAGAGAGAGAGAGAGAGAGAGAGAGAGAGAGAGAGAGACAGACCGCCGACCGACCGACTGATCGACCCCGACCGACCGGATGTCACTTCCTGCTCACTTCGTCTGCCCCGCGCATCATTGTAACGTGAATTCTGCTCGCTTATTCTTTCGTCTTTATCTCCTTTTCGAGCTCGCATTTTCGTCGCTTGGTGCAATGCTTCCACGCTCCGTTATATCGCCTTCATCGATATTTATCCACTTCTTAAGCTTGCATACAGAAAAATATATACTGATCGCAAGTAATAATTACGTGTTTCAAATATTTCAAAAAAGTTCATGTATCTACAAATCTGTCCTAAGTTCATCACAAGCATCAAATTTATTTAAAATATATTCTCAATTCTAGTGAATTTAATCCTTGATCAAGATTATTAAATTAAAACAAATTTGATGTGCTTGCTGTATAAATCTTCCTCGATCAATTTTATAATACGTGTATTCTTCAAAGAAAATTAATTTTTGACTACTCCTTTTTGAATACCTAATGATACATTTTTTTTAAATTTGTAATATATTTAAAATTATCAAGAAAATATTCTTTGTTAAAAATAACACCATTAAAAGGAAAAAAGTGAATTAACTAATATTTTTTATGTGTGGCGTCACAAGACGTCAGGAAAATTATTTAAAAATGCAAATTTTTTTTCACGTCTATTGTATCTCGAGATATATCAGTTCTTTCTTTGATAATACAACGTATCTCAATGACTGTACATATTGTAATAAAATTCGGGTCGCCTGCTGACCTTGCTCCTCCTTATCGCACTTATAAACAGCCAGATCCGAGGTGTGTCTTGGATAAGAGGGCGGGGATTCTAACGACATACCGCTTACTCTATATCGTTTTCATTTTATAATACTACATCATTTATACCGTGAGATGCGAGAAATGAGCGAGCATTTTTATCATATCGGCGTACATTACCGTGGCGTAGTCGCTAATTGGATGCGCTCCGCCAGCGTGTATCTCGCGCTTTCTTCCAAGGACGACGAGAGGGATAAATCCAGGATGTGCGCCACATACCGGAGAAATATACCTACGGACGCCTCTCGCCTACTCTGGAACGTGTCACGCTCTATTAGTGGGCGGACACGCGCCCGTGATAGCTCGGAACGTACGTTTTCGGTCTTTCTTTACTGTTATTTTAGAGAAATTCTCACCACACATCTCGTGTCGCACAGCACCAAATGATCACAGCCGATTTGGATTCTTCGTCAATTTAAGACTCGTCATATAATGTACTGTATAATATACTATAAATTTACATATAAAATCCAAATTATGTATATCTCTAATTATAAGACGAGAGATGTATATTCATAAGTAATTGTTAGTAATTTCTAAGAGTATCTTAATTTTTTTATCACAAAGATTTTGTCGTTGAATTCTAACAATATTTTAATAATTATTGCTCGTAGTTTCCATCACGAAGTATCACTTGCAATTGTAATTTATAATTTAAAAAAAAAACGCCGATAATCGTCTTCAGTGCAAAAATTAATCTTGTAAACATCGCAAAGGGATCGCGAACACCCGGTGTGTCGTCGCGTATTTCTCCAAGGTGAAGAAACGGTATGCGCGGTATGCGCGCACTCGCGCGTACGAGAAGGAACTCTTTCGCGCTCAGGCAAGCAGATGCACGAGTGGTGCAGTCATATGAACTGCATTTTTCCACAACTTAAGCTTATCGTCCATCCGAGAGTAACTCTTTCCGGAACAAAATAAGGAAACAACGCCATACACACGTTAAAACGTCTGACTAAACGACCAAACAAACCAGACCCAGTTTCACAGTTCATGGTTAACCCTTAACCGAGGTTTAACTTATTCCTCGTCTCTTTCTAATGCTAGAATTGGAAAAAGATGAGAAATAAGTTAAACCTCGGTTAAGAGTTAACCATGAGTTATGAAACTGGGCCTAAAAGAATTCAATTCGCGGTCAGCAAACAGATTTTCTTCCTTAATCGAATTCGAGAAAGCCGAAAGGTATCGGAATGCACCAGACGACGAAATCAAACCGAGAAAATAAAATCGTGTCGAATTATAAACTCGATGTAAATTTATTGTATTTATCTTCCGATTTTAATTAACGTAGACTCGACATTCGCTCGACGTCGAAGTTAATTCTTCGTCGGTTAAGGAGGCAAAAGTGGGCTGCATCTCGCGCGTCAGTCACTCTCGCAAATGGCTATAATTCACCGCCGTTTACATACGCACGGACACGTACGGACGCGTACGAACATCCGTCCTCGAAGATGCACCGCTCGAGGCTCATAATCGAATCGAGCGAGTGTCGCGTCGCGTCGCGTCGCGTCGCGCCGTCGTCAACGAGGAGCGGCGTGCATCGCCGCCACGGGATGGAAAGCTATGCACGTTGCCCGCGTTTCTCGAACGGCACGTACTATCTACGTGAGCGGTGGCATGAATGCGCGCGCGACTGCTGCATTGGCCGCACATATAGTATGCAACTCGCAGAACGAGGCGAGAACGCGACGCGTAAGGCCGGAATCAGACTACGCATTGAAAATTGAGATTGAAGATTGAAAAATTCAAATTTGACCAATCGAAATGAAAGGAGCTAAAATTTCTTATTGGTCAAATTTCAATCTTCAATCTTCAATCTCAATCTTCAATGCGTACTCTGATTCCGGCCTAATGCCCGTGTCACACTACGCATTGGAGATTGAGGATTGCGAATTAAGGATTAGAATTCGACCAATCAGGTAATTTTAATTTTAATCCGTTTCGTTCTAATTGACTGAATTCTAATCATCAATTCGTAATCCTCAGTCTCCAATGCGTAGTGTGACACGGGCATAACACGAACGCAAGCGGACGCAATATTGACGATCGATCGATCGATCGATCGACGGAGTTGGACGGTACGTCAACAAGGACAACAATGAATCCTTCTAACAATTCTTAAAACAATGTTTCTCTCGAAAATAGTTAACAATAATGAAAGCTTTAAACAAAAGTGTCATTTGCATTGATTAGTGAACATGTTACTATTAGTATGTATAATATTTTAAACTTTTATACTCTCTAAATCTATTTTAGAGTGAATCTTACTCTAAAGAGTCAAGTCTCACTCTTAAAGAATAAAAATTGAACCACTCTTTTTCAAGACTGACTCAATTTTCACTGTTTTTCCAGATCT